GACAGGCCTTCGCTCGATTGAAATTTAGTTTCCGTAAAACTCTGAAAAATAAAGAGATCCGATCAAACGGGTTCTGGTTTTAGTATAGGTACATGAATGTCTTACAACACACAAGAAATGAGCTAAATCTGTGTCTCAAGAAAAATCGACCGGACCGCACTTACGGAAACACTCTCTTAAAGGTTCACTGGGATATCTAGCATTTCCTTTGTTAAAGTTCAATTATTTTCAATACTCCAGTTCCCTTTTTTTTAAGTATTTTTGTGCCAAATTTTGTGAAATTCTAATGAGTGGTTCTCGAGAAATTTGCGTATTTCCGAGAGAGTAATTTTTCATTCAAGCGCAATTTTACGACTTACCACACATGCGCTGCATTTAATTATGTTACCGGGTTCTTCCAGTAACAAAGAAATAGCTGAGAATTCCTGGGTTTTTGCATGGTTACCTTTTCTAACATATCTTTGTATTAAAAGACTAAAGCCATCAATACACTTCGTTCAATTAAAGAGAAAAATAGCATAGATAGTGTGGGTGTTGAGTAAATAAAATGACTGCTCTATTGATGGGGTGTTTGTTTTTTGCAATCCTTGTGCGCGCGCCGAATTGCATCAGCAAAAGCGCGCGCGAAAGCTGTGTTCGGCCACCTTAAGACGAAAGTCCATTGGAGCATTTACACTCCAAACAATATTTCTAATGCCGACAGCTCCTGTATGTTCGGAGCAGTTACTATTACCATGTTCCTATCTAGGTCAGCCATTTTTCTGAAGTTAAGCAAGAGAAATTGCAGAGTAAGAGAGTAACTCCTTCATAAAGGCATTATTCATAAGGAAATCCCTCTCAATTTATTTTTAGACATGAAACCCGTTAATTCTGAAAAACGTCAGTACGCGCGTAACATGGAAGTTTTCGTGGAGGATGAAAATAAATGTAATGCCGCTTGTCCCATTCAGGTGAGAGGAGTGTCATTCTCTAGGCCCTCCTGAGGTTTCCAAATCCTGAAATGGTCTAAAAATAATTTAGGAGGGATTGCCTTTGTAATAAGATCTATTTAGAGAATTAACTCTCTTACTCTTCATCTTATTTATGATATCCCACAGGACTCCCATTAACTATCTACTTGTGAATCTGGCTGTAGCGGATGCCTTGTATGCGACCTTAATTACACCGGAGACTTTCTTCAAGATCACTCCCACGCACCCAGAAGGATTAGCTGGAACAGTTTTATGCAAAATAATAACAGGTGGAGGTGGAAACCTCGCCTGGATTGCTGGAACCTCCTCGGTTGTTACTTTGGCTGCAATTGCCGCTGAACGATATTATGCAGTAATCTATCCTGCTGGTAACGCGGGCAAACTTACCAAGAGTAAACTAAAGGTGCGTCACTGACAAAGTTTAATTATTACTTTTAGTATGTACCGAACCAGTGGATTACGTTTTTTACGCATTCTGATTGGCTACTCAAATTAATTGGAAATAGGCGGGCATTTATGAAAAGGGTCTATGAGCAAAATGCTTTCTTTGTTTTGTACCGTAACTGAAGAAGACATATTGGCAGTCTATGGAAGCAGCTGCCCCACTACTCAGGTATTCCTTTTCCTTCCCTCTGGAACTAGAGCCTTGAATACGAACCTCCTTCTGTCTTTTTCGCCTCATCTCAGCCAGGTCATGCTGATGATCCTTAGCTCTGCTTGCAGAGTTCTTTTCCATGCCCATGCCAGAGGTGGTCTTCCTCCTCTCCTTTTTCGCTGAGGGTTCCCATCCAAGGCTTAGCGGGTGACGCCGGTCTGCTCTCTGTGTAGGGTACGTACGATCCATGTCCACTCTCTGTTCTTGATGGTAATAATGATGGGCGCCAGCCCGATTTTTCGCAGGAATTCTTGGTTATAGATGCGCTCTGGCCATCTGATGCGCAGAATCGGACGGAGACAGATGTTGATGAAGAGCTGCATTATGAGGTCCAAGTTCTTAGTGCGCCTCCAGGTTAACTTTATTGCCCCGCACGAAAAAATTGATTTGTCAGTGCTGTTAAATAGTCTCAGTATAGTACCCCAGCTGAGGCTCTTCCTCTCCCATACTGATCTAGGGTGGCAAAGGCTTGACGTGGTTTGTTGATCCTAGCCTTGCCATCTTCATCTGTGTGTGGGAACTTCCTGGCTTGCGTTTATTCGTAGGCTCTTGGTTTTTGTGACATTGATCTCGAGACCTGTCGTCCTGACAACTCCGCGCAGTCTCTAAGTCTCGGTCTGTATATGCTCCCGAGTGTGTGACAGTAGGCTAAAGTCGTCGGCGAAATCCAGCTCCCCTCCCCCCAGCTTCTGCATGAGGATCCATTGAATGCCTCTTGGCTCTTCGGTTGTTGTTTTCATCACTTAGTTCATCACCCAGGGTTCAGCCCTGTCTCACTCCAGTGTTGACAGTGAACGATACAGATAAACCAGCATTGTGGATACCTCTTCAGCTGGTCTCCTCAGATAGAGGCTCTTAATGATGTTAACGATCTTCTGGGGAATGCCATAGTGTCAAGATTCTCCTAATCACTGTTCTTTCCACCGTGTCAAACAACTTTTTAATGTTAACGAAACTGACATGCAACGGTGACTGCCATTCTAGGGACAATTCGATAATAATGCAGAGAGTCACTATCTGATTGGTGTAAGATCTGTGTGCCCGGAATCTTGCCCGTTCCTCTCTCAGTTTGATGTCCACAGATTTCCTGATCCTTTTCAGAACTAACCTGGTAAAAACTTTGCTTGGAAGGGAAAGAAGCTGGATTCCTCTCCAATTCTGGCAGTCGCTGAGATCCCCTTTTTTGGGAAGCTTTGCAATGTATTCAGTCTTCCATTCCATAGGCACTTCCTCCTTCTCCCGTGCAGCAGATTAATCATGATGTTTGCAGTGACCCAATATCTGCTTCCATGACTTCGGGTGGGGTATTGTCCGGATCTGGTGCCTTTCCATTGTTGATCTTCTTCTCGGCCTTCACTAGCTCTGCTCTGGAGATCAAACCAAGGTCGATGTCCAGGTCATCTTCTTCCTCAATCTGACAACCGGCGTGCCGTTGAGCAGACTGTTAAAGTGTTCTTCCTATTTGTCAGGCTAGTCTGATGTTTGCTGAGAACGCTGCCGTCACGTCCACACACCAGTCTGTTGGTATTTGTCTTCCATCACTCGTGATGTAGAGGGTTTTCATCTCATTCTCCTGGCCTGCAGTCACGGCCTCTTCAGCAACTCTATCTACTAGTTTTCTCTTGCTGTCTCCAATACCACAAAGAAAACTACAAAATTTGGCTTACAAGTACAAGTACGGATTTATTATTCTTAGGCGTGAAGTTATCGATGAAAACCGTGATAAAACGATTTGTTCACGTTTCAGATTTAGAACAACTTCGAAAATTAAAAGCACCTTAAGTGTTATTGTTCATAGGTTAGCGAAATTAACACTATGAAATTCATAAAATGTCTTACCTCGTGGTGGTTTCAAAATTAAGAATACTTTACAATTCCTTTTGATGAAATGTCGCCGGCTTGGCGAATATCAACCACTAGCAACTTCGAGTAGTATTACGGGTATTAATTGTTAACTATAGAGTTACAAAGAAAGCTTTCAAACCAGGTCTACCGATCTAACTCATCACCAGTCTGATGCGTATTGCTATTCCTTGAAAAGCATCTCTAAAAGAAGCCTTAATGGGACAGGTTTAAGAGGCTGTCTCTGTAAAAAGCGACCACTGATTTTACTTCGAAAATGCGATTTTTCTCATAAGTTGGGATTTCGAAGCCCTTACGTAGTCAATCACTGAAATGAGTTTTATTTGATTAAATATTCTAATGAAAGTTTTCTAGGATTGATTGAAGTTCGGTCTGCTCGACACAAGCTGCATGCCTACCGAAACCGGAAAAAAGCACATATTGCCGGCGCTCTAAAAAAATAATATTCGCTCGAAAGTCCCAATTCTTTTTTTCAACCATAGATATATCATAGCAGTTTGTTTCACCATGTTGCAATTATAATTCGTTGTTGTTCCTTCAACGGTTAAAAGAAGATTTTCTACCCGTTGAGTTTTGAACCAAACGCGAAAATAGCTCTACTTTGAAGACACGTTTTAAAAATGTGGCACCTGTTTGAAACTGCTGAACTACATGAATAGAAAGAATAAATGTCCCTTAATTTAAAGCAATAATAAAATTTGTCTGCCCACTAGATCGTCAAAACTAACGACCGCTTAAAGTTCAGGAAATTTTGAAAATATTCCAGCGAGTAACTAACACACTCGCCTTCGTAAAGTGCTCCGATAAATTCATCTCTTACCTGGCTTTAAGATTAAAGTTTTGGTCCTTTGTAGCGATCCTTGAAACCTAGGTAACATTAAAACTGCCAACTTTTCCTTCCAGCTGCAGGTTTGTATATAAAGTACATTTATACGTTCCTCATCTGTGTCGAGCGTGGCGGTCACATACTTCGATGTTCTTTGTATTACTGACTATTGTTTTCCTCGAAGCTGGTTTAATCATGTAGAGTCCTCTTGAAAGGTTTGTAGAAGCACTCTTTTGGACAACTTACGGCACACATGCAAGTATGAACAGTAAACGGTGATCCGGGGAGCCAAGGAAGGATTGATAAATACCACGTCCATTTTGTGTTTACAACAGGTGTTTTAGTTCCCAATCTTCCCGTGAGTATAACGGGAATCAATGATGTGATAGAGCACCGGCAATATGTGCTATTTTCCTAGTTTCGGTAGGCATGCAGCTTGTGTCGAGCAGACCGAACTTCAGTCAATCCTAGAAAACCTCAATTAGAATTTTTAATCAAATAAAACTCATTTTAGTGATTGATTAGGAAAGGGCTTCGAAATCCCAGCTTAAGAGAAAAATCGAATTTTTGAAGTAAAATCAGTGGTCGGTTTTTTCAGAGACAGCCTCTTAAATTTCTATTTGCGTCGCTGTTTCAGGTGTTCATTCCCGGTTCTTGGATCTTCGCTTTGATAGTCCACATACCACTGTTCCTAGCCTTAAACGTAAAGGACAATGCCTGTGCGTGGAGCCATGAATGGATTTCCAAAGTTTATTTTTCGTATTGGTCAGCCATCGTAATTGCGGCCATGGTACTGATGGCTGGGTTGTATTCCAGAATCGTGTGCACCTTGTGGTTCAAACATGATCCCGACAATCAACTCACCTTCCAACAGAGGGTAAGGAGCTCATCAGTCACCGTAATCTGAGTTATTTTGGCCACTTACAAATGTATCTATAAATTGAAGGAAACATAAAAATAGCATTTTACCAGGATAGAAAGACACGAAAGAGATAGTAATATACCGTAAAGCAACAAGGATGGTTAAGGATCGAGAAGATTGACACGGATTATAAACGACAGCCTTGAAAATTTTTGGCTAAAATGCACAAAATGTGACAAAGCTCCTTTAAGAAACAAGATCAACACGTGAACAATTTTCGTTGGCTTCTCTGACGATAACTACTGAAGTATTCAAATGAACGCTCGTGATTAAAACTTGCAGATATCTACGTTTTTTCGATTATATTCTGGTGCCCCGAACATTCTGGAAATGTTTTGTTCGAGCGTTACTGTTAGGTGAATACTCTCCACCATGCAGTAACCATTGAAAACAGGCGCATACAAAATATCATTCTTTCTGTTTTTTTGAAATGTCTTCACCTTTGTAAATACTCTCAATACTTAAAAGGTTTGTTCAGTATGCGATCCAGGTATTATTCGTTATTTTTTTAAAAGAATTTATATTTTCACTCGGCCAAAAATATGTACAACTTCTTAAGACCTTAATCCCTTTATTTCAGTTACCAGGCGACTAGTTCAGATCCGCACTACCAAATCAATATCACTAAAGATTTCAACATCTGCCGCAAATTAATTTTGCCTTGTGTTATGGCATAAATTTTTCTTCCTTGATCTAACTTTTATTTTATTGTTATTATTGGTGACACCAAGTAGCTCGAATATATTAGCAGAGGGCCGCCAAGCGGAGCCCCATACTCATATAGGAAAGAAAAGGAAACCCATGAGTTGATTTTCTCATGNCGGAGTCGCGCAACATGGTGGTCATACTTCAAATAATATGTTGACAGAGACATGCAGCCTTGGTTTACCGTGTACTTCTTCGATATTGGACATCCATGTTATGATCAATTGACACCTGTCCAAACAAGGTATCCGCTGACCAGTATCATGTGACCATATCGCGGGCTTAAGTTTACAGGTCATCGAGGTCACGTGTTTTTATTAAGTTGATTACTGACCAAGTACTAATTTTCGATTGGATCGCGAACTCATGTCAGCTTAATTTGTTAAAAACAGGGCAGGATTGTTCAGAAGCGGGTTAACGCTAAGCCAGGATTAAAAGTTAACCGAGTCATAACTTTTTCTTCCATACAAATGTTTTTTGCTGCTTTGTTTTGCGTATATGGGGATTATTAAAACTCAAAACAGAAGGTCATACAATATACAGAAAACCTCACCGCAAAGTTACAAAATTCAAATCAAAATTCTACCTTTTCCTGGGTTAGCTTAATCGGGCTCTGAACAACCTCGCCCAGGAGCTACGCTTTTAGCCTGGCCTAAATCTATATATTAGCACAGAGAAATGCCAGAAAAATGCTACTGTGTAAATTCGAAAGAACGTCAAGTTTATGCACGCGTGATCCTTTTCCCAGGAATAAGCGTTAAAACCACTTTGCTGATTTATTTGTTACTATCTTAATTGGATTTATTTCTCTATAAACAGGGCGTCCTGAGAGTGCGGAAGCGAGTCACTTTGATGGGGGTAACTGTCACTGCTATATTCGGAATCTGTTGGATGCCTGACGTAATTGTGCACAACTTAGGCAGCAACGCATCTCTCAGTATCAGTGAAGATGTATACGCCGTTACTCATACGGTAATACTGTTCAGTTCCGCTGTCAACCCATTTGTGTACGCTCTGGTCAACAAAAACTTCCGAGAGAAGCTAAAGGGAATGATATGCTGTAGCTGCACCAGCTCCACAGGATCCACACGAACTCGAGGTTTTCCTACAAAATTAACCTCCACGGCAGGGACATAATCTTTGGAGTGATCAAAAAATCTAACACATTTCTTCTGTTAATGCTGCTTTTTTTTAGTTAGAGGAAAATGTGACGGCATTATACAGATTGGAGAGATAAAGTTATGATAAATCTTAGTACTTTAAACTGCCTTGCGAGACAGCAATTCCTATCCCTTTCTCTGAGTAGCAAGAGAAGGGAATCTCTCACGGGGTAGGCAACTTTACAGGAGTATTACCTTTCATAGATCCGACAGAAACGTTATTGCAATTCTTTAATTTAGCGTCAGCAGTGCCATTTACCCTTGGTAGTTTAAGGGAGCTCGCTTATTGGAAGAGCAGGCGTTTATTCGATTTTCATAAATATCACAATGTGCCACAGTATTTTAATGACAAACGGAAACTTTAACTCAAGGACTTTGATAATGTTCAATATTGCGTTCAGAGTTCATTTATAGTTCATTAATCTAATCGGTCTATTCAATGTTAAGACGGAATGTCCACTAGGACCGAGCCATATCGAAAATATGTGGCACATGATGACAAATCAAAATTTTTCATATTTCTCCCAGAAACGTGGTTTTTTTTTTGTTTTTTTTTTCTTGAAATAGTTTTTAAACCCGCCAAAAAATCAAAAATTCGTTACGATCCCACGTCTGGTCAAAAACACGCAAAATTTAGTGACTAATACCTTTTCATAAACTTCACTCTGTTTAATCTGCATCAAATAACATTCCAGTTTGAGCCTAGAAACTTATTATTGAGGGGTTTACAAGTCTTTTGAGGCCAATTATTCTTCTGTGGGTTAATTTTCAAGACCACGACGAGCCGCTTAAAATCACTAAAATTCGCCTCCGCAAAATTCTTAATTATGCACACTTTTTCAATCGGCAAATTCGCTACCCGGTAAAACACCGAAACACCTAAGATTCTGAAATTTCGAAAGAAGAGGTGTCAGTGTAAAACCTGATATAAAAATTATTTTCGGGCTTTTCATCAGCGCTGAGTACTAACGTTCTCAAAATTGTGATAATCACAACACCAACCTGCTAGAAACGAAATCAATGGGCAAGTGTCTGTGACCAGATAATTAAAAGGAACGCGAAAAACACACATATTTAGTGGGGGTTCTGGCGCAGCGCTCACGCACACAGTGCAAGCGCAAGGCAACTCCTCATCTGAAGATTCGGAGTTGCGTTGCGCTTGCACTGTGTGCGTTCGCTTGCGACCAGAACCCCCACTATATATGTGTGCGTGCGAGAACGGCAGTTGTCGAAACCAAATTTTCGACAACCAATTTTCGACAAGGACACAGTGTGTTGCGTGAGTGCTGCGCCAGAACTATGTGTGTGTGTGTGTGTGTGTGTGTGTGTGTGTGTGTGTGTGTGTGTCTGTGTGTAACGCAACAGCAGTAAGCTTGGTTGTAGAAAGTGCACCCAATACTAGGAGCGAATTTTTCGACAACCACCAGCGGGCGCGCAGAAAGCAACGCCCAGATTTTCACCTGCGCGGGCGCTTCTTTTTTCGCTTCTATTTGCAATATTGCTGTCCAGATATTTTGCAAAATCAGTAAAAAGACCCTTTATCATTGCCCGCCTTTCACTTTCATCAATATCATACATTTCCATGATTCTCCTTGATGTTTTTGCAATCTCTTCGCTTTTTTTCACAAACTTCTCAATGAAGTTTACATATGCAGAGTGGTATAAGATTTCTTGATGCTTTGTTGTTCCGCACCTGCAAGACATTTCGGAATACTTCAGATGCAGCCACTCTCTAACTGGCCGAAAAGTGCGCCAGAAGTTTTTTCGTATTGAACAAGTATATGCACAGTTCATACGCCGTCATGGCTGCCGCAAGATATTCGTCCGATGTTCTGCAAATGTTCTACGGCCCAATACCGAGGGAGGAAAGAACAAACCTTCCCAAACCGTTAAGACCTGATTTTACCGCACTATACGACGGGTTCCAAATATCCCAAAACGATTTCCAAGAATAGTTCCGTGTGTGGAGAATGGCTATATCCGAAAGAAACCCAAACAATAAAGATCTTTTGAGGTTTGCAAGAGAAAATAAAGAAAAGATCACCGATTTGGTAGGACAAGAAACACAAAGGCTAAACAGCGTAAAAGTAAGTTTCGGGTTACAAGTAAAGTTCTCAATAGAAAGAAACGATGAAACGCAATTCATGGAGCATTATTTCAAAGACGAT